TGACCATGAAGACCTATAGACTTTATGACCACCTCCCATATAAAGACACCATTAAGACTGAGACTCATCTTGCCAAGGTAGCCAGGGATAGCAACAATGTCACCAGCAGCTGGAGGGACCCCAGGCTTGCAAGTGTGTCCTTTCCCTCTCCCGTGCTGACACAGAAGAAGGCCTTCTGTGCTTATTTTCACAGAACGCATCACAGCTGTCAGACGAGAAGTTCATCCTCTGGTTCTGGCTCCTGGAGGTCTGCCCATGGCCATTTCTATTTCACCTCTGTCCTTGATCTTGAACGTGTATCAATCAACAAAACCCAGGTACCCTGCTCTGCGTATCTGGGGCCTGCGGACCTTTAAAGCCCACTGGGGTCTTACTGATTCCTAACTTAGATCTGCAAGGGACATAAGGTGTGCCTGGGAAAGCATTTATTTCCACTAATGATTTGTTGTAACAACTGCGATAAAATCTCTTGAATCCAAATTTTGAATAGATTATTGGGAGACAGAGAAACTGGTTAGTGTTTTGGTAGAAAATAGGTCACCGGGGGTGCACTGCCACTGCTATGCTGTGCCCTTAGCCCTGGGGTGAACAGCTCCCACCATTAGCTCCCAGCATCACGACACTCTGTCTTATCTCACACAGGTCGAGATTCAACAAAGCTGAGGACTACAGACTGAGAACCCGCAACCCATCCAACCCATGAGCTAAATCATCTCATCTGTATGTCAGCCATCTTGCCACAGCAAGAAGCCATGGCTAATAACGGCTCATCACAGAAAGGGGACTGCTCACACAGGACAGTCGGAAAGAACAAGGCTGAGTTTACACTGGACTCCAGGGACTGGAGATGGAAATGGCTGGGTCCTCAGAGCCATTCCCCCGCACCACATCAGAGGGCAAGCAGCAAGTCAGAAGAATCATCACCACCATAGGGGGTTTGGTTGTGACCAGTTTTATTGTCAACTACATTGTTGGGTACTTTATGGCAATGCAGAGCTCATTCAACATTTAATTTTGCACATTTAAAAAATTTGCAAAGCAATACTTTTATACAGAACATCTTCCCAATAGTAGTCAAGTTTAGAGATGATATACTGTAGCCTCAAGGGTGAAAGAACAATGAAACTCACTTCAATGCTCACTGGATTTGTTTTTTGTTTTTTCTTTTCTTTTCTTTTTTTTTACATACTGGTTACATGTTGAGTCAACAACTCTTCAGCTAAAGCAATGGACACAAACTTTGGAAACATTCAATTCTGAGTCCCCATGTGTGTGGCCTTTATGTCAACAAGTCTCATGTATTGGTTGTCTTAGGCACAGCTAAGTTATAACTGATTTTACGTATTTAATTTTTTGGTATGTGATTATTAAAGAGTTCTCAGAATTACCTATGAAAGCTACTCCAAAACACAGTGATTTGACACAGGCAATGCATCCAATATGCACAACATAGTTGATTTGTTCTGTCCTAAATATCATGTAATCAGAGGTGGGATCACGGATGGCCCTCATCATAGGACTGAGACACAAGTTAAAAACGACTTGCAGCTTTGACACATCAAAGAGGTAATCATTGTGACTATACCGCGCAGATAAAAGAATGCACATCTTCAATTACTTCATTTGCCTAAAATGTTGAGAAACACCGACTCCTGGATTATAAAGTGTTCCATTAGCATCGCTGTCCAGTACCTTGTTTTATTTTTGGTATAACTGCATATTGCATCCAGAGTTACAAGTTTCCCACAGTGCTTTCTGCCTCATTCAAGTATAATAAAAAGTAGAAATCTATAGAAGCTCTTGGGCTAAACAAACTGTACATCATACAAAAAAAAATTAATTTACAGTCAAAAGGTATTGGCAATGCCCTTTACAAGCCTCAACAAAGACTCGTCACAAGGGGGTCAGATTCAACGTACATGGTTATCACATAAATACACCGTTTACATTCACGTGGCGCAAAGCGGAGGGACTGCTAACTGCAGACACACAGAAACAGTACTTCGTACCACAATGTTTCTGTTAAAGTGATAGTACTGTCAATACTAACCCAAGGTACATGGTTTTCTTATTGCATATTTATTGTGGCTGAGGAAGTTAGTTATGATACAATAATGCAATCTCCACAATTATTTTAAATAAACAAAAACACTTCTGCTAACAATAGAAAGAATTTTTTTTTTCTGAAATCACATAGAACATTGCTACATACAGTTTTAGGCAAATACTGAAAGACATGACCTTAAGGCATCTGCCAGAAAAAAAAAAAAAGCTTATTTGTATAAACTAAATTACACAAGAAAAATATTGCACAAAATTCTATATTTCAAAATAAAATGTTTCTCTCTCAATATACATAATTCTGTATTTCTTAATTAAATTATAACATCAACGGGCTGCCTTCCTAGACTTTGAAGCTTTAAAAAAAAAGACAGTGACAGCACTCTGGGCTGGACGTGGGGGAACATGCTCCTAGAGGACCGGGTTCCTAAAAAATGACTACCTACATTAGGAGATGCTTGGGGGCACACTACATACCTGGGTTTGGATTTGGATTTCCCAATATCATCTCAGATCCAAGGATTCCTGACACCAAACGGTGGGTTCTCCTGAGAGACTTTTCTCATGAAAGTGATGAAGCTCTCCTGGGAATGCTCGAAGTCATCTGCTGCTGGACAAGTACTTCATTTCATGGGACTCCTGAGTCACACCGTTAGACACCAGCAAAGGATCCCAGCAGCACGGTCACTTAAGGCTGACTTCGACCAAAGAGATCAGGGCTGCTTCTAGAAAATGCTGTTTAACAAGATTTCTCTTTTTTTTCATGTAAGAACTGGACCCCCATCAACATGATGGGGTCCAGTCTATATACCCTAAGTTACCCCTGGACTGGGGAAGGAGCCATCCATACTGAAAAGGGACATCGTGTCACATGGATGGTCATCGCAAGGACTTAGCCCTGCAGTGTCTCCAAATCCGTCCTTCATTGTGGAAAGTTAGCAGCCTTGTAGTAGCTCACATAATTACCAGAAAAGTCAATGACTCTGTACTTAGAACATACTTTATATAGAGCAGCTGCTCCTAGAAGCATCCTTGCTGTTGCTCTTGAGCTAGTACCATCTAAGCAAGTACATCCTTACTCTAGTTTATTATTATTAATTATTATTATTGTTTTAACATCTACAGTTCCTTTCCCTTTTAATTGGTTCCCCAGGGCTGGGTAATCGTTTGCTTCCTTTCTCTCTGACTGGTACAAAAAGTTGGTAAGTATTTTTCTCAATGAAGGAGTTACTCGTTTTTGAACCGGAAACATAGTCAAGCTATAATCTGATACATAAGATAAGCTAAATTAGGCAGTCTCTCTCTCTCTCTCTCTCTCTCTCTCACACACACACACACACACACACACACGCACACACACACACACATACACACACACAAATGCCACTCAACAACACCTTCACTTTAACAAAACTGCAGCTCCTAAATTTACCCTTCTGCCCTCAGCTCCCTGTCCTGCCATGGGTGCAAAGTCTAAGTGAAACTAAAGGCAAGCTAAAGGCTGGGTTCGGAGAAGCATTGAACACAAGACGCTGAAGCCGCAACTTACTCAAGTCTCCTGCTGCAGCTTCTCTGAAAAGCTGACTTGGGGGCTTCAGCTGGTTGGTACTCAGTGTGTAAAATGGTAGCACACACAGGAAAAGTTGACGTCGAATAGCACGGAACTTGGTTTGGGCAACGCAAAAAACACTACTTTGGTTTATTTCTGAACTCAGCCTGTTATCATCCCTTACTTCTTGCCCTATCCACCATTATGCTGGGAAGCTACGTTTAAAAGCTGACTTCCAATACTCAAATTTCAATGGTGCGAAGCACCAACACTTGCTTCCAGTTTTCTGGACGTTTTTCAAGAACAGTGTGTACAATTTTGTTTTTTTTTTTTTTTTTAACATAGAGTAAGGTCACCGCTTTGCTTGTTGGGGTAAGGCACAGATCACTTTAAAGTGTCTTAAGACAGTATTTGTGAGGGGCTACGTGTTTTCAAACAGCCTAGTGTTACAGTGGAACGTCTCATGGGTTGACTCAAGGTAGAGAACTAGGAATCTGTGGCCATGGGTTTATCAAGGATATGAGCTGGAAGCCAGTGTTCTATGCTGCACTCAGGATGCCATCATCCTTTAGACAATGTACTCTGAAGGGAAAACAGAGGCCTCACTTCAAAATTCATATCATAGGCTCTGCATTCTGGTCAGGAATTATGCCGGAATGCTTGCCCAGGAATGGACTCACCACACTAACTTTTCTTCCCACTAAAACAGCTCTTCTGATATGTGGCTTTCTTCTATTATTTATTTCAGTAAATTGGGATTGATGAAGGACACCTACAGGTAAAATCTGACAACCTTGAGTCATATTATTGTGTAAAAAGCTAAGGATTACACATAGCTTTCCATGAAGACCCTGTCCTCATAAGGACAAGCTCCATCTTCCAGTACAAGTGAGTGAGTAATTACCTCAAGTCAAACTATTTATAGTTTGGCATGCAGTTCTGTTCATTTTTTATGACCTGCATGAATATTTTAAGCAGTATATTAAACAAATCTCCTAAAATTTGAGGTGAGATTATATTCCTGAAATAAATAGTTCAGAGCACGGCCTTGTTGAGGTTAAGTGGTTTTGAAACCATTTTTCCCCCCCCACTAAAAAAGACATGATTGGGGATATACAGAATAGAGGCAGGGAAGGCACAAATGAACCACCCACACCACCAGTCCGGTGTGAGCGGTCTGCAATGTTTTCAGGTGAACTCCAGAGTTAACAGGAACTGTGAGGGGGGCAAGTCCCATAATGAATCACAAAGGATTTATTCTGATACTCTTCTGCCCTAAGCAATTCTACTGTGCCCTCCCTCCCTGCCTCCCTCCCTCTCTCCCTCCCTCCCACCCTCCCTCCCTCCCTCTCTTCCTCCCTCCCTCTCTCCTTCCAGCAATGGAGCAGAAAGTGTGGGGGAAACAGGCTTACAGTGGGGAAAACCCAGCTGTGTTCAAAGTCAACACCACAGAGACTAGCTTGCAGCACACGCCCTTTAAGACACTGTGGAAATGGCATTTTACCTCTATGATCTTCTCCCTCAAAGCTATAACCCCAGTGTAATAATGAGAAAAACAGCAGACAGATTCTAGGAGCCGGCCGCTGGGCAACACATCTGACCAATATACCTGAAAATGTCAAGGCCATCAAAACCAAACATAGTGAATTAATTGCTAGAGGGAAGAGGAACCCAGCAGATATGGTGAGAGACCAAACGTAATTTAGAACCCCGAGGGAATAATGGGACTAAGAGGGGACATCAGGGAAAGCCAGAGTTCTGGAATGCCACGTAGGACATCAACGTGTGGCAAATGTAGCATAGTAACGTAAGATACTAGCCAGAGCAGAAACAGGAGCCAGGGTAGATGGGAATTTAGTACCATCTTTGCATTTTTTTCTATAAATCTAGAACATTTAAAGTACAAAGTTAATTATTTAAAAAAGCAAAAAGGTAAGGCTATGAGCATCTTCACGGCCAATCGGTTACAAGAACAGGGCATCTGCTTATCTGTGCTCTGCTGGGCGTTTGGCTTTCTCAGGGTGGACCCGCCACGGTGGCCCTGGCACACAGAGACTGAACATTGTCTGAGTGGCTTCTTAGTAAACAGAAGCTTTGAACTTCACATTGAATTCAGCATCCCATGTATTTCACTGAGTGAAAGGTGAATATACACATTTGCAGAACATGGCTGCAGTGTCTTATAAAAGGAAGTTAGTTCCACTGAGAAAGCATTTAAACTTGAAAAAAAAAAAAAAAAGGTGAGCTTAATTCTGAGATAGAAAGAGGCATTATTGCTCTGAAAGACAAGATAACTCCTCTTTCAAGATCTGGATGTAGCATCACACACGCATGATTTGTACGCTTAACATAACTGGAAGATTAAGGCAATTAATGGGTTAACAGTTTCATCAGCTTCAGGCTATTTTTTTTTAAAACCAGTTTTGACATCTTGATCAGTTTATGCTCAACCAGATTAGTACAGTAACGACTGGTTATATGTGTGGTTACATATGCACACTTAGTTTAAACAAAATGAACGGCGTTAAGCACCAAATACTGGGGAAGCTTACGTTTAAAACACACTTTCAGCCTATATACACATTAGTACCTGATTTAACAGCACAGTAGAATTCATTTTACGGCGGAAAACCAACAGATAACACAGCTCCGTGAGATGACCGGATGGGGAAACATTCCGAGGGAAAACAGATAAACAGCAGTGAAGAGCTTTCATTCCTATGGGTGATTCTGTTTACGGGGAATTAAATCCACATGTCTCTGGAGAAGCCAGGAGGCCAGCGACTGACCCTTGCTGGTACCCTAAGTTTGGCTTCCACTTCTCTCTTGTGAAATGTTTAACCCTTGTTGCAAGTCACTTGGCTTGTGACACAGGGCCACGACTTCTTGGAGCAGGCCCCCGCCTTCCGAGGGCCCCTTAAATTCTCGCCCTGCTTTCTCCCAGGGGACAAAGGTAGACAGGCGGTTCCCCAGGCTGGGTGGCAGCAGATGCCCCGAGGCCTGACTTAGTGTTTCCTTCAGCTCTGCTTTTCCTTCAGACACTTGAGGAACCTCGGGGGAGGCTGACTGGGAAGCCAGGCCGGAAGGAGAAGCTGGCTTGCCTACCGCAGTGGGGCCATGCATGCTGTGGGCACAGAGGGACTTCTCACTGCTCTCCTCCTCCAGGATAAACAGAGAGTCTGCCAGCACACCAGAGGACACCCTCTTCCTGGGGGATGGAGGGAGGTGCTTGCCATGGAGGGCACTGTCGTCCTGCCCGAGACTCCACTCTCCTTGGTCGCCAGAAGCACCGAGTAGGGTCAGGTTATTCTCACTGGGCGCATTGGACTTGTTCTGGGAAGGGAAGGAACAACTTGAGATACTTTATAGATTACAGCAACTTCATTTCTGCCTTGAAGGTGAGCGAGGCTCCCGAGTCTTAGCCAGGATTGTGGGTGCAGCCCCCCAGCAGGATCACAGTCCTTCCAGCACCAGGGACAGGCATGAGGGGAGTCGGGTCAGGATGTGGCAAACTCTGGTTGCCACGTGTTTAAAGTGTCACACTTCCGTTCTCTGCAGACGGAACGGGGTCCCACTGAGGTCCATCCACTTCACAGTTTTACAAGCCCTTAGTTTAGTACATTTAAAACTGTTCACTTTTGAAGCAAGGAAATAGAAAAATAAAAAGATTTTAACAGACATATTCGCTGTGGTTTTTCACATAAAATGTCTTTACAAGGATGAGTATGAAACTGGAGGGAATGTGGCTGGAAAAGGGCGCCAGTCAGTGCCACCCACTAGTGAGTGGGCGGAAACGGGACGGGAATACTGTGGCAACTTCAGTAGAAGACACAATTCATGAGGATGAAATTGTTACCACAGTTTGACGTTTGCGCACCTTCCTACCTAGAGGTTAAATGCTTCTATAAATTAAGACCAGGCGAGCAGAGGGCAAGAGTGTTTCCATTTAACGCTGTAAGTGAAACTCAACTCACCGTCGGTTTGTAATCGATGTCATCCATGGATCTGAAGAAATCCAGGCTCTTTGCAGCCGCCAGCTTGCCTTGGTCGGAGCTGTGTGTGCTCAGCGTGTCCAGGATTTCCCCCAGCAAGTCCATCTCACCCGAGTAAGGAGCCTTCACTCCTGCTTCAACCGAGTCGTCGCTCTCGTAGAAATAAGCAGAAGCTTCTTCGCCGTCTTCGGAAGACACCCTGGAAGGGGACAGGAGGTGCAGCAGTCAGCGTTTACCCACACAGGCTGCGTCTGAACAGCTCACCGACTTCATTCATTCGGTATTTCGGCAGAGCCACAGCGAAGTGATTGGGGGGGGTGTTGGGGGAGCGCAAGCTTTTAACTCCAGCACTGTGGAGGCTGAGGCAGGAGGATTGCATGCATGAGGCTGGTGTGGGCTACAGAGAGAAACATGAGGCAGGAGGACGAAGAGGTAAGGGAGGAAGGAAAAGAACACGAAAGGGGACAGGAGAGGTTTGAGGATGGGGGTGGGGGGTGGGGGACGGACGGACGACAAAGAACAGAAATAAAAACTACAACAGACTCTACAGGGATGCTCATCTCTACTTCAAATACGGAAAAAACTTGGGCACGTGCGTTAAGAGCAAAAACTAAAGCCACTAACCGCAAGCCAGGCCTTTCATCAGCCTCATCAGATTGAACACTTGGAAAGTCTGCAACATTCCAAATTTACTTTCCATACTTTACATTGTTTTCCTTTCCTTATTTGTCTTGGAAAAGGATAAACACTCTCATTGCATGCAGAGAATGTCTATTTTATTACCACCGACCTTAAAACTGCTAAAACCCGAAGTTTATATAATTTCCCTATTTTGCATTACGTAGCACACCTGCACATTTCTCTCGGGGGATGGCACCTTCACCTGAGCTCAGCTCAGTCTGTTTCCAAATGACTGTTATCACTGTTCCTTTCAGAGTGGGGTGAGAACTCGAGCTCGCCTCTGTCACCGTCTCCACTCCTTGAAAACCCTCGACAGATGAGTCTGTTCCCCAGGAGCAAGCATTTCCAGTCTATCTTGCCTGGCCCTCTCTGAAGCCCCAATCCTCACAGCGCTGCATGGGGCACCATTTCCGTTTGTTGATGACCATTGTGAGCGATCAAAACCTGAAGTTTAGTAGTCCCTAACTCCTGCCAGTGAGCCCCGCCCTTAGACAGGACGACACAGTGCTAGACTCACTTGCTTGATCGTTCAATGTCATCGTCATCATCATACAGGGTACCATCGAGGCTCTTATGAGGCCTTCTCAAGTGTGCCTGGAAAGAAAAATTGACAATAAATTGAGTTACTGATTTAAAACATGTGTCCTTAGTTATTTTAAAAGGACAGTGTAATTTCATAAGAAATACTTATAAAAGAAAGATGCTGTCAAATCTCTTGAATGTCATTCACTAATCTGACAAATTAGAACAAGGAGAAATACAGGCAAAATAGTATTTAAAACAAAACAAAACAAAAACTTAACACTTCCTAGCTCCTCGAGTAATAACTAGAAATAGATACACGAATGGACAGTTACACAGTTTCAGATACCAGTGTATCTGATTTAGTATCAGTCACATATCCATATTGCAATTATCATGTAATTGCCAATTTTATTACCTTCTCCCATCCCCCACAAGGCCTAAGAGCATGCTTTCAATTCTAAACGTATATATAAAAGCCCAGGCGGTTTAGAATGCCACAGAATATAGGCGCTGGTTCTGGAGCGCTGGGGGCCTGTATTCCTGCATTTGTGACGAGTGCTTAGGCTATGTCAGCGCTGGGTCTGAGGAACCCGCTCTGAAGAGATCTTCACATTGGCAGTTTACCGTGCGTACCTACAGACCAAGGGATATCTTTCTGTGACAAGTTTTAGGCTACCTGGTGGAGTGGAGGAGCATCATAATGAACAGGAACAAGACCTGTGTCCTTGTGGATGTTAGTCTAGTAAACACAAACTAAACTAACTAATAATCGCACCCATCAGCGTAAAAGGTATGACTCCAATCAGCTTCTCCTAAGCTATCAATGCCACGGAAGCTCTTACTAGGAAAGGACCTAATCTGGGGGCCATTGCAGTTACCCCCTTTCCTCACCAGGTGGCGTTCACACACTGACACACACACACACACACACACACACACACACACACACACACACACACACACACACAGAAAGGACAGCTGGAACTCTTGGGGTCACATAGCGGCCCAACTGCTTCTGCAGGAAAATGTGGGGAGCATGGATGAGAGGCAGGGCAGAGCCAACGCCAGATTCACAGCCCCCAGTAATGTCGAGCAACAGGAAGCCACTGGCTCCAATACTTTCTGAGAACTTAGTAAACGTTGGCCCTGTACAGTGTCTCTAAGTTAAGGCAAATGTTTCGTAGCATTTCTTCATTCTATAAACACGCAGGAAGCGCCAACTATGTGCATTTTACTGCTCCCACAGCACACATACTATGAATGAAAAGACCATATTTCGTCTACACTGCAAAGACAACACTAGTCATTCCAGAGTTACACACGGGTGGGCAATGAGCATCTCTCGTAGGATCCAAGCATCAGACAGCACAGGAAAGGTAGCCCTCTGGGATGTAAAACGGGGGCTGGGTGGCTCAGTGGTTAAGAGCATGTGCTGTTCTCACAGGGGATCAGAGTTCAGTTCCCAGCACCCGTGTTAGTTGACTCACAACTGCCTGTAATTCTAGAGGCAACCGATGCCTCTGGCCTCCCTCACAGACCCACATGCAGACAGATGCACACATGCGCATAATTAAAAATAGAAAAAATAAATATCTGGGGAAGAACATAAAGCAGGCAAAGCTTCTATGGCTTAGAAACCAATTGAAAATGAGACTCTGAACTGAACATCAGGGATCTTAGCCAAACTCCTGGATTCTGAACAATGTGAAGTACATGAAAATGTGAAGTACACATCCGGTGTGGGTGAAAATTCACAAAGTCAGTGCTCATGCCAAGGGACGCTTGCTGTGCCTGGGAGAAAAGGTTAAAACTCTGAAGAAGGAAGTCTACCAGTACGGAATGAAAACTCCTGGAGCTGAGCCCGTAGGTAGACCCTGAATGAAATAAAGACCTGTGCAGACAAGGGGCGTTCACAAGGAGGAAAGCAAAAGTCACACACGCCCAGAACAAATGCTACCTTCTCAGCTGCGCCCTCTGGAAGGCGCCCAGACTGCCAAGTGGCCTGCCTGGTGAGTTTACCAAGCCTGGTAAACTTGCAGTTACCCTTGTGATCGCTAGATGGCGAGCGACGCTAATAAGGCTAAAAATGCAGCTGGGGCTCAAATTCTTGCCGGAGTGGGGTAGGGGGTGGGGGCGGGGGAACTGGAGGGACAGGATGGGTACAAGCACGTGAAACAGAAAACGTGTCTGACACAGACTCACTCTGAGGACCAGACCGGCCTTGGCTTCACGGTCCCGTGTCTGCCTCCACAGGACTAGGGTTACAGCTCTGTGCCCGCTTGCCTGGCTGACTGCACAGGCTTTTCTTTTGTTCGCATAGCCTACTCTTTTTAAAAAGAAGTACTTGTATACCTAGGAGTGTTTCCGCTTGAATGTGTACATGTGCCTCACCTGTTGCCTGGTGCCTGAGGAAGTCCAGTGACGGCTTCGGATATCCCAGAACTAGCGTTACAGGGCTGTTAACTACTGTGGTGGCGCTGGGAACAGGACCCAGGTCCCCTGCCAGGCCACAAGGTGTTCTAAACCATGGAGCCATCTCTCTAGCCCCTAAAATTAGGTATAATGAATACTGCCCCCATTTTGGAGCTGAGGCAACCAAAGTCCAGAATTACTGTTTTGCTGACCCAAAGTCTACACAGCAAACTCTTGATCTTATGCATAAAATCCATCTGTAGGATAAAAGTGTCATAGCATGGAATTGTAATTGCAGTGCCTTGAACATGCACAGCGGTTTTACTATTTGGAAAGAGCTTTATACCACATTTTAAAGAAACATTTACAATAGTAACTGAAGTGCAGTTAAAGACTTAACTGAAGGTTTGTTTGCTTCAGTGGTAGGTCTTTCACACACTCTATTTCCTCGGCAACCTTACTTTTCCAGAAACTGTGCTGAGCACTTTTCCCGTTTTGTGTATGAGAAGAGCAAGCGGTGACTTGGTGAGTTGTGAGATCAGAAAGGGGCGTGGCTAGGCTAGGACTCTGCCCCAAGTAAGCAGACTCCACAAAATTCCTATTGTAACCCTGCTGGGCGAGAGCATTCTGAGGTGCCCTCCTGTAAATGACAACCCTCAACCTCATTTCAAAGCAGGAGCCGTGCTGGCAAGATGATGTGGGTGCCAGTGCTGCAGAGGGCAGAGGGCAGGAAGATGCAGATGCCAATGCTGCAGAGGGCAGAGGGCAGAGGGCAGGAAGACGTGGCTGTTAAGGGCAGCTGGGAATCTCTGACACTGACGCCAAGGCCATGTCTGCTGCACGGGGAGAGACTGGGGGAGAGACTGGGAACTCCCCCACCCCCACCCGAGAAAGGGGGTGATATAAAGAAGCTCGCGTGCCACAGGAAAAGGGGGTGCGTGGCTCCAGTTCAAACAGGAATGTCCTCTATAGGCCTGGGGTTGAAGACTTGGCCAGGCTGCAGGTCCTTTGCGGGAGGTGCGGGGAAATCTCAGTTGGTGAGATTCGGCAGGAGGAAGTCAGTCACAGCGACATGCCCCACGAAGACAGGGTCCCTTCCTTGCTCTAAAGCTTCCAGCTGCCAGGAGGTGAACAGCCTCTGCCAGACTCATCTGTTGTCCTGATACAAGGCCTGATGTGAACCCAGAGCAATGGTGTGGGTGAATCAATCCCTGAGACCAGGAGTTAGAAGGAGCCTCTCCTGTTAAATGGCTGCTTTGAGGTGTCTGTCACAAGGACACCGATGAGCTAACAGAGCTGTGTCGGAGGCACAGGGGCCAGGGCTTGCCCAAGACAGAGGCTGCATCAGAGCATGAAATAGTTGTGAGGCCAGACCCGAGTGCAGACGGGTCCCATGTGGCTCGGGTAGACAAGGACTATGGAAAACTTCGGATGATCCAGGAAAACTGAGAGAATGCACAACTTCCTGCAAAGTATTATACCAAACAGAAGATAATCACATCACACTGATATGGTTATCAACAACAAAACCCAACTGCAGCTCAAATTCTGATTGGCATACACTTTTATAATAATGATAATACCGTTACAAAAGGAAAAGCATGCTTAGTTCTAGAGCAAAGCACTAAGGCCCTCTGCACATGAGGCCGGGTGTTCTATTAGGAATCAAGAGGCACGGAACAATAACAATGCATGGATAAATGGGCAATAGGATTATTTTTTTTAAAGAGTCAAGTGGAACTTATAAAAAAAAAAAGACAAAGCATTATTATAAAGATGAAAAACAGTCCTGATGGATTCATTAGCAGAGTCAACAAAGGAACGGTGCACTTTCAAACAGGTCACAAGAAAATGACCACAGCTGAATAAAACACAGAAAGAGAAAAGGGCAAACCAAAAGAAAATAAGGCACCCAAGGGCTGAGCGATGCTGTCCGCTTCATTCTGTCTCCAGCCCAGAGTAGATATCACCCCCCCCATTGTATTGTTACTATAAATAAAAGGGGGAACACCACCTAATGCGAAACTGAGTGTTGTGAATACTGGAAGCAATGTGTGTTAACAAAACCCCAATTTTCATGATAATCTGTGGAGGTGGCCATGGCTACCACCATTTAACAGCTCGCCAGGCTTAGAGCGGTTAGGAAAGACATTTATGTTCACAAACCATCCCTAGGGCAGGGCTGGTGTTCTTGTCTGTATGAAGCCTGGGATTTTTCCATTCCCACCTAATAAGTGACAAAGGCTGATGCGCAGAGAGTGAATGTAAAACTCCGTGAAGCAAGCTTCGTGCATTTGTACAGAATGCTCCCCGAGAAGCTAAAAGGAAGGGATCTTGGAAGCCAAACTGGTAGGTGTGACAATACAGAGGTTCTGAGGAGACACGGCCTTGGTCAAGAGTTGAATGGGACCCTGCACAATGATGTGTCCACTCTGCCCATTGCTCAACGCCAGGGCATTGACAGGGGCTCAGTTCAATTTAGCTGGACTCTATTCTCCTTTCCACTCACTCTTGGCTCCCTCCCTCCCTCCCTCCCTCCCTCCCTCCCTTTCTTTCCCCCTTTTTTAAAATTTAAATTTGAAACAAGCTTGTTTTACATGTCAGTCCCAGTTCTCTCCCCCCCCCCCATTCTTCCCTGTTCCCCCACAAAACCCCAT